TTCCAAATTTAGAGATTTATATGGCAATATAGCATTAAATTATTTGTTTAGGTTGCTATCATTCATGTATGCCAAGATTCAAATAAAAAGGAAATGAAGAAAACAAATGGATTTCAAATACATATAGTTATTTCAAATCCATTTCCAATTCATTCAATATAATACTTTCTAGTTTTTCTTTAGTAAATTTAGTTTTGTTGTCAAATTCGAATATTTTCTTTTGAATACCCCATCTAAAATGGAACTTAAATGTATTATCATGTGTCCTAAGTCGAAATTCATATTATGATGTTTTATAATGTGAAAATGATCATGTTGGAGAGACCGTAATGTTATTTGTACCACATTTAAATGTGGTCCAAATAAACTTTATTTCTTTCTTACCCAAAAAATTTAAATACAATATACAGGTGCATTAATCTTTGGCTACTGGGGAAACCAAACGGCACCAAAAATCCAAGTATCAATTTGCACACGTGATCCCTATAAAGTGATGAACTCACAAGAGGATAGATATAAAAAGGAACACAAGACGCATTCCAAATACCCATCTCTATATAAACGTACCAGAGAACTGAAAAAAACACCAAAAATTAAGTGCATTCTCATCCCACACCAATGCTTGAATGAATCTCAATGGATCAAGAAGCCATACAAAAACCAAAACACAAAAAACACAATCAAACTCAAGCCTCTTCCAATGAGACTTTGCCGTTGCCAGGCTTACCAAACCACCTTGCACAGCTCTGCCTTGCAAAAATCAACCCTTCCATTCTCTTCTCTGTTTGCCACTCATGGAGGCGCCTAATCTACTCTCCTTCCTTCCCTCCTTTTTTCTCTCTATACGCTCTTCTCTCTCCTCCACCTGATCACAACCCCAATTCCCCCATTCAGTTCTCCTCACTAGACCCAATATCAAACACGTGGACATCTCTCCCTTCTCCTCCCTCCGACCCTCCTCTCCACCTCCTCCACCGCCACCCGGCCTTCCTCTCTCGAAAACTCCCCATCCAGACGTTGTCCGTCTCCGGCTGCCTTGTCCTCGTCGCCGCCACCAACCACCAATTCAAACCCGCGCTGCCTCGTCCTCTTGTGTTCCAACCACTGTCCAACCAGTGGTCCTTCGGCCCCCCGCTGCCCAAGCCGCGCCGTTGGTGTGCTGCCGGAACTGTGGGGGGCAAAGTGTATGTGGCGAGTGGGATGGGGACAACTTACAGAGGGGACGTTGCGAGATCGATGGAAGAGTGGGACATGAGGAGGAAGGAGGTTTCTGCATCATGGGTTAAGAAGGCAGGGCTTAAAGATGGGAGGTTTAGCAGGGAGGCTGTGGAGGCAATTGGGTATAGAGGGAAGCTTTGGATGGTGAATGTGAAGGGCAATGCTATCAAGGAAGGGGCTGTTTATGATGTCGAAAAGGACACGTGGCAAGACATGCCTCAAGGCATGCTTGGTGGATGGAATGGACCAACTGCTACATCCATCAATGATGATGATCATCATCATCATGACCATGATGCGATGTATGTGGTGGATGAGAGTAAAGGAGTGTTGAGCAAATATGTTGATGAAAATGATTGTTGGGAAGTGGTGATGGACTCGGTTGTGTTGAGAGAGGCTGAGCAAGTTTGTGCCGGGAGGGGGAGAGTTTGTGTGGTTTGTGCTAACGGGACTAGGATTGTGGTGGTTGATGTCGCGGCGCCGCCACCAAGGATTTGGGTTGTGGAGCCACCACCGATGTTACAAGTCGTGGCGGTACACATATTACCTAGGATGTGTAGGCCGGATTAATTTTCCAATTGCTCTTCATGATTCATATTATGAATAGTTGTTGTTATAGTTCCTATCAAATGTAAATAAATAAAAGAACAATTACATGTAGAAATCAAATACATTTGATCATCAATCAACAAAAGTCCAATTACGTTTTCTATGTGGATTATGTAATAATTTAACAAAAAAGAGTGATTCTGAGTCTCCTAACTATAGATAATAGAGCACTTTAGAAAAACGACATGGGTCACCGTTTCATAAGCAGACTGTAGACTACATATATATCTCTACAAAGAATTTCAATGTTTGTTTGGCAAGCCTGATCAATGTTCTATATTAATCTCTATGAATTTTTTCAACTTCAAATTTTCTTTTTCTTAAAAAGAAGAAGCAGTTTTACCCTATTCGTAATACATGTGAAGAACAAACAAACCAATCTGCAATTTCGAAACCAGCATTTCTAGAAGACAAGAGATAAGGTCACAATACGAACCGAAAAAAGAGAGATAAGATCACATCTATGAAAGCGAGAGGTGCAAGACCAAAAAAAGAAAAATTATATCTTTGTTTTTCCTCAAAATAAACTTGATCAAGCCTAAGGGCCTTGTAATCCAATGGTTAATTATATCTCTAATTAAATTATTAAGATCATTTATTCCTGCACTCGATTCTCGCTTTTTAAATATTATTTATATAAAAAAAAATTAAAAAAAAACTTAACCAAGCTTGTAAAGTAAGAAAATACGAATTATAAGTTACAACCACATAAAAAACTTAACCCGCATAAAAAAAATAAAAATTTACAATCACTCTAACAACTTCTACCTTTACAAATTTAATATTGCCAACCATTAGCTATAAAGTTCTGTCCTGTGAACCCTATTGACCCAAAAAAGTTCTTTGAAACCTCGTCAGAAAACTTTGGTCTTTGTTCATGGTATTGGCAACTTGCTTTTTTGAAGATCGCATAAAATAAACAGCAAGCAAGTGATTTATATTCTCAATGGCTTTATGCAGTAGGAGGAGGACCACCGTTTTGTTTTTTTGGTCGTATGAGGACCACCGTTTGAAGTGCTTCAAAGTTATATGTACACAGAAATTCTCCTATGCGGTTGTAGATATATAGTTATTCTCCTATGCGGATGTTCGGACGTTATTATTATGCAGACGCCATTGTAAACTTAGAAGAAAACAGGGAGGTGTAATAGATTTTGTATTAGATGGAGAAATAATAAATTAAAGGGCTTGTTCAATATAGGTCCCTACAATTTCTATTTCCTAGACATATACCCAT